ACTCTGAAAGATATGCAGGCTACTTTATGTGCAGGATTCCTTCCCTCACAAAATAATTTGTCACTAGTGCAATGTAATGGGTTTAAGGGTTATCGTCTAGTAAGAGGAAGTTGTTACTGATTGCAGCTGGACATAAGGTTCAAAAAACTCATTTCTGTACGTTTTAGTCTTCATAGTTTTTAAATGTGTAGCCATTCATGTTAATATTCATGATAACATCGGTTAAAATGTGTAGCCATTCAAATGATGCTTGTCCATACAGTGATTCTGCCTCCTTTGTACTGATGCCTTTCACAAATATTTTAGACCTTATTACATATGTTTAACTAATTCCAAATTGTAACACATCTGGAATCGCTCTCCAACAAAAAAGGGAGTTAACATTAAAGAGATCTTGGCCTCAGTCCACATTACTCCAGTCACTATAATTGCCACAAGGCACATTTTGCAGCCCAAATTAGTAAAACACATACCATATTCTTGCAAGCAGCCTTCTGTTTTGCAGCCTGTCACTCATGGTGTATCTGGATAATTAACTTCCTGTAGCTACAGCAAATTTCCTTGCAATCTGGACTGATGTTGTCTATTTTTATAGCAGTTGTTGCCAAATTATAGTCCTGAGATTATGTTGTGGCACGTTTCCAACCTTAACCTAATTACTAGTGTCTTTCACCGTTCCCAGGTTCTTTACAGGATGCTTTTAGCTGCTCTTGTATCCTTACAGTCCTCCGTTACTATTCTTCCTAGTGCTGAACATTTTTCACAATCTGTCAGATGCAGTCTCAGTGATGAATTCCACTTTCCACAGCTGAAACTTTTACCCGGCTACTTGTGCAGTCCTTGAAATAAGACATTAAGCATCCCTTTGCATTCCTTTCCACACATATCAGGAGAACAAGCTAAAAAAAATTGCAAAATTCAGTGTAGTAAAGGTGAATCCATTTAGACTGCCTAATAATGCTGACCATGATCTACCAATCGAATACCTTTCATTGCACTTGGAATCAACATAAAACATTTTGTATAGTTATTTCTTTATATTTTCCTGCTAGTGTATATTATGGATTTTTATAAATGTTCTAGAATGTGTGATAAATTTAACTGTTTGATACATTAATTCTCTCATAGTGGATGTTTTTGTATGTGATGCTAATTATGCGAGACTTGTTTATAAAACTTGGGTACCGGGCAAAACTTATGAAAGCACCCAGTCAGGTTTTTCACTTTAATTCCATTGTGTGATTTTTATAAAGTACTCATATTTAGTGAAATAGTGTAATAATTCAAAATAATTTTGATTTAAAGTTATTTCATGAAAAGTGTATTTCACCTTGCTGTATGTTTTATTTTCATTTCTCTTGTATGTAATATAAACTAAAGAATTTAAACTAAGGACGGTGTTTTGGGGAAAAAATAGGAAACTAAGACAATGTAGAGCTCTTATTTTATTTCAAAGCTTAATTAAATTAGATGCAAGACAATATAAATGCAATTAAATTGTTTACCAAATTAATAATGAAGTGTATGAATAAACCGAAGGATTAAAAAAAAATCGAGTTTCTTTCTGTCTCTGAAGGAATAGTTTATTCTGATGGTTTTTGCTACCATAAAAGAGAAACTTGCCATCTTTGCATTAAAATAATAAAATGTACAGTAACTTAAACATGACAATTGCTAAAACTTTTAAAATAATTATTAGATAAATTCATATGTGTAATAATAATATTTGATGGAAGAACAAGAAAATTGAACTAGTAAAATTTAATTTTTTTTGTTGAAAATTTTTTTGCGGCAAAATCATTAAAGATATCCTCACAATCTAATTTAAATATTACATATCCATGTAGTGCTAATAATGACAATGAGAAGAGTTTAGAATCTGAGGTTAAAATGCATAAACATGTTTTAATTCTTTTAAATTAGAAAAACTCTCATTTCAGCATAAAACCCTATCATTTTGTACAAAATACAAAGAATAACTGTAATGCCATTTCTACAGCGGAAGTTCTTTTACCTAAACTTGGTGTGTTATTAACTTTTTATTTATCAAAAGAAATAAAAGAGTTGAAGGGAACGAGTCCTATGTGAAATCATGATCTGAATCAGAGAGGTATTACTTGGAGACCTAGAATATGTGCCGCATTTGTACATGCATTAATTAAGCCCCATCAATAAACATCAGTGGAATATCTAAGTCTGTAAGACATGTTCATGGCATAATTATGCTTCTTTACAGACACTGACAATCATTATTAAAAATTATTAATAACTATCACAGTCTCTTAATTGTAAGAAATTATAGTACACTAAGAAATTATGGTTGTGTAACTATAGATAAAACTCATTTATTTTGATGCAATAGCAAATCATATATGTTAGAATATCAAAATGAATGGATTATGTGTATAAAAGTGTGACTGAGCTTGTTTTGTCTGATCTGTCAGTAAAAAATGTTTTAAGTAATTTATTATGAGTTTTGTGACCTGTAAATTCATTAGATAGCCATAGAAAATTTTAATATTTACCAAAACTCAAAAATCCTTTAAAATTCACAAAATTCTTTTCTTGGGACTGCAAGATTTTCATTTCTCATACCATCTCTAATTTTCATAGAATCTGGAGAGAATACTTTTGGAAATTCATAAACCTCAAGTTGCTTTCAATTTTTTGCCTTTATCCTCTTGAATTCATACTTTTTGTATGAAACATTAAAAGAAAGTTTTGAAGAAAAAGGTGCTTCCTTTTCTTTCTGGTTAATCACATGTTTAAAAATGGTCTATCTCTGAGAAAAGTTAACAATCAGAATTGTTCTCTGTCCATTTATGAGGAATGTCTGTTATCAGGAGTTGAAATAAATTCATACCCAGTACCAAGAGTCTGGGGCTGTTTTAGAAATTCACCAATACATTTTCACTCATTTTGTAAACCTCCTGGTACTTCAAGTCTTAGAATTTCTACATTTTTCTTCCAGACTTTCCACTTCCTGTGCTATCCTAAACTATGGTATTACAGAAAGAAATGCTTCATTTATTCATTTTTCTTTCTGATCTATTGCCTAAATGACTACTCTTTAAGAAAAGTTTACAGTCAACATTTTCCTTCATTTGCTATCTCGAGTGTCCACTCTCGACAGATGAAATACAGTCAAAAGTCGTTAATCCGGACTCGTCGGGACTTTGGCGATTCCGGATTATCGATTTTTCCGGATTATAGATCATCAGTTTAAATCTCGTAAGATGGCATGCAGAAATTCTAAAATTAAAAATATGAAACCGTAATTTATGAAATAAAGAACAATTATGATCTAAAGGATATCAAAATTTACAAAAAAAAAAAAGCTTAATATTTATTTGTTTACTTTATTAAACATTTCTTCAATGTAAGTTGTTTAAGTTTGCTTCGTTTTATGTGATAATACTTTCTCTTTAATTCTATAAACAGACCATAATTTCTTGTTCAGTTACAAAGTTCCGCTGTTCAAGTCCCGTAATTGCTGTGCCGAGAATATTGACTGACTTGTCAATCGAAATTTTTTCGTTTTCACTAATCTCTCTGTCACCTTCTTCATGTCTTTATCCATTTTTTGCAGCAATTCTACTTTTTGTTTGATGGACATCGAAACATACTTTCGTTTTGTAGACCCTTTGGGAGCTCCAGCATCGGAAATTCTATTTGACATAATCGAAAGTTCAAGTTTACTTTTATAAAATTGCTCTTACAGTCTGCAAAAAATAATAAGCCGGGTCCAATTCGAAAGATTAAGGAACAACGCAATCATCAAATTAACTGAAATGATTAATAGATAATTTTAGCTTATACCATTCGTTATACATAAAACGCGCATGCGGAAACGTATTCTGTGCCTGCGCACTCGCACATGTCTTATGTAAAAGTCTTACGCGCACACGTAAACGCCTATGCGCATGTGTCAATGCGTCGCATGTGCAGAAAGTTTTTAGCTTTGAGGTCCGGATTATGGGTGTCCGAATTAACGACTTTTGACTGTATATGAATATCCTGCATTAAGGGTATGAGAATTAAGGAAATTTCCATTAATGGGAAATGTTATCTAAACTGGGATGTCTGTAAAATGAGTTTTATTGTATATTGAAGGTGCAATATATTTTGATGATTGGTAGAGTTATGTATGAAATCTACTCTCATCATTTTTAGGGGGCTTAATTTTGTGCTTTTAGATGTATTTGTAATATCTTCTTGGAGTGAAAAATTATTTGCATCTTAATGCTGAACTTTTAAAGTGTTAAACTCTTAAGGTTTTATTTATCCTTTTATGCTTTTTAATGGTAATTTAATCTGATACTGACACAAATACACAGAACTTTCTGTCCTAGTATTCATAATTGGCTTTCCATATGCATGTTGTAAGTATGAGCCAATTTCCCTTAGATAGTCCTCTATGACAGCATTTTGTTCCATAATCAGATAGGCTATTATATTTTGCATTAATCAATTAATCAGTGCAACATTATGAAGTATATTAAGTACAAAACTGCTTTTTATCTCAGATCAGCCCCTCTTGGACTTAATAAAGTGGGGGGGGGGGAAATGTGAACATTCTTCTGTAATTGGTTGCTGATGTTAATGTGCTTTAGAAACTAGAAGGCTGATTTGCAGATTTAAGAGAAAAGAATAATCCAGATATTCAGATAAGAAAATTCAAGAACTCTATCCCTTAAGTAATTTCTGACCAAAGTCATAATCCTACTACACATTTTATTAAAAATTATTATTTTGTTAAGAATCATCACTTATCTTCGTTTTCAATAGTCAGTGTGAGAAAAGGTCTCATCTAGTTTAAAACTCAAGAAATAGAATGTTACTACATTTTTCTGAATAATGGCATTTAAAAGAATGGAGCATTTAAAGTGCTATACACTATTGTTTATGCATAATGATATTTATTTTAATAACTTATTATGTTCATTTACTGCTGAAATTATAGCACTATTTAAATATTTATGTATTTTGTCCCTTATTAGACATTAACTGGGGAACCTGGACCTTTGATTTTAAATCGTGCTCAGCTGGAAAAAATGAACATATCAGAAGTAATCATCTGCAGGTGGCCCCATCCTTTGCGGACACAGTATTTCAAAAATGTATTACCTAGTGTCCAAATTCGTAGATGTACATCTTGCAATAAAGTAAGATTATTTCGTAATCACTTTTAAGTTTGTTCATGTTATAGAGTTTTTAATTTTGCTATATTTTTTGCAAACTACTTTTGCAAAAATTTTATTTGATGTGAAATAAATTATGTTGTCTGTGTTATTCAGTCCCGGTTCTTATCATTTTTGACATATTCGTCAATCATTTCAGTTGATGCTCCATATAAATTAAGCATATTCATAACTCAAAACAATATATAGCATTATGTAAGTGTCACTTTCTGGGAACAACTGAACTAGCACCCTCTACTTATGTGACTGCTTATGCTATCTCAACTTGGAATCAGCTCATGTGTTAATGTTGAAAGTAATGCTGTCTGTGCACTAATGGAAAATTATGTCATATATGCTTATTCTCAGAAAGAGTATTTAAGAAGACTGAGGAGCGATTTATTTTGCGTTTTTTTCTCTGGCTACTTAATTAGGTAACATAAGGGCAGAGAGCATTTTCCTGTGTTAACAGCATTTAGTGAGCTCATAGAATTCTACATTTTCATAACCATTGAGTGCATATTGCTTATTTAGCCTTCAACTACTCTTGTTAGAAAATCATTACGTGGATGATAAGACTCATCCCTGCTATTTTTATTGACCAGAATTATTTTAAAGTAATATAGTTATTTAAAGTAATATATCTAATAATTTTTCATGTACATGTTTTATAATAATGGAATAATCGTAGACTAAATTCTTTAATGTTTTTTATAACATTTCGGACATTACTGAGAGGTGAACACTTGATCATAGGTATGAATATAATATCAATAATCATTTTCATTTTTGTTTCATTCACTGAGTTTCTTCAAGGACTAAATTCTAATCACGTTTTATAGTGAAGCATTCATGTTCTTTAGTGACCTTATATGTATTATATATGGCTGATTGAGGCATTGATTTAAAATAATTTCTTATAACTGCTTAAACGGCATTTCAAGATCTTTTTTTTTTTTTTTACTTCCTTTTCCTCTCTAAATTGCTAGTTAGATATGCAAAATAAAAGTAATATATATAAAGTCACTGATTGAAGTCTTGCATTGTATATAGTGATTAGTACAAACAACTACCAGCTGTTGATAGGTTTGCTGATCCTTAGTAAATGCCTTCTCACCAAAATTATTTGGGTGTATCAGGATGGATTTTGCTTAGTAGATTGATAGACTGAAAATGTTAACAGTTTAAAAGAGGAAATTGCATGAAAATTATAATATATGAATATGGTCTTCAAAAATAGGAAAAGGTTATAGATAACAAACAATCTACATATATATTTGTATTTACTGATGAAAAATTACTGTAAATTGATTAAATGACGAAACTTGTTCTTCCTTATTATTATGCAGTATGTCACATGAATGACACATCTCAACCTACTAGCATAAAATTGCTGGTGAATTTTACATGATTGTTGTTAGGAATTGTTCTTTCCTTCAAGTAGCAGCCCAGAGGGACTGAAAATCTGAGGAAAAGATATTAGAAGAGATGCTTAAGATTTATCAAACTCTGTATTACAGAGAAATGGCTGAGGTATTCATTATAGTCTTGTAATCATTGTTAAATTGGAAAAAATGAAAAGTAATGATAATTAGGGAGTACAAGACCATTACACTCACTGTAAATTATTTATAATTTAATTTGTTTTAGCTAAGCTTAATAAAAGTCTACTTATTTAAAAATTTTAATAAATTGAACAGAGATACAGTATTTTTAGGTGATTGTTTTTGAAAATTACTTCTTAGGTCTTCAGAGATTTTAAACACATGTGTTTTCAAAGGTTTCATGAATGAATATTTGAGTTAATGATTGTAGACCAGTGGTTTTAGCTAGATTTCAAACTGTAATAATTTAGATCATGTTAAAACCTTTTAATCTAAATAAATGAAGCATAAAATATTTATTCATGCTGTTTGGCAAAAGGATGTCATTGAGACAGTGTCAGTGACAAAATCATTTTTCATAGCTGAATTAGTCATTCAAAAAAATTTTAGCTTTGTGCATTTCAAATTATTCAAAATATCATTAGTTAAAACTTGGAGCCATACAAAAATATTCTTAAAACAGCAGTGTGTATGTCAAATTTTTGAATTCACGTTTTTAGTATGGGAGAAGGGGATCGGAGAGCAATTAATATAGGAACTTGGGTTTCTAATTACTGTTTGTAGAAAAGATGAAAGTCAAAATTTTTATATATTAAATAAAGTAACATTTTTATATGACTCATGAAAATTTTATAATTGCTGCTGTTATTTTTCAGGTTAAAGTAGCTTAGATCATAAATTTTGTTTATTTCTAGTGCCAGTGATTCATATTTCAGAACCAATGTTTCCCTGAAAGTTCTTTAGTAAAACGTGAAAGAGTTAACTGAAACTTTCCTTACAGAGGATCTGTATGAAATTTAATTTCCTATACACATGTGAGCAAAAAGAGCTTGCACATTATATTAAATTTACGAAAATCTAATGGCCAGACAATAATGAAATTTGGTGTGTATATACATTAATAACACAGAAAGTAATGTACAATTCAAAAGTCATTTTATCTATGCATGATTCTCAGTAAAGCTCATACTGCAAGGATGTCCAAAACCCAGATTGTGATATCAAACTGGAAATGAGTTTAATATAGAGTATGGTCCCCTCTCACAGCCAGACAGGTCATTCAGCATGACAGCATACTGGCTAGGAGGATGTTGAGGAATCTCTGTGGCAGTTGATCCCATCCCTGCAGCAAGGCAGTTTTCGGCTTAAGCATGGTTCTGCGAGGGTGGTGATGAGATAAAATTGCCCTTCCGTGAGTGTCCCAGACATGTTTTATGTGTTAAGGTCAAGAGATTTGGTTGGCCAATCCATTCGACGAATATCCTCGCTTTCCAGGTAAGCCCTGTTCGGATGAGTTTTATTGCCATTATCAGAAACCCAGAACTAACTGCACCTCTTAAAAATCGAACAGAGGGACCTATGATCTCTCTATGCCTCATAGCAGCCAGGGCACTTTTGTGAAACACATGCAGGGCTGTGCAGCCATCCAATATGATGCCTGCTCAAACCAATTATGATGCCAAATTACACCTCCACCACCGACATGATACTTTTTCCTGGTGAGTAAGGATGGTATTGTGTTCCAGGCTATCTCTAGACACCAGTATGCCAAGAATCAGTGTCCAGACTCAACGTCGACTGATCTGTAAAAACTGCAATGCTCCACTGAAGTCAAGTTCAAGGTGCATATTGTCTGCACTATGCTAAACATACTCTTTTGTATGCTGGAGTGAGTGGGATGTCAACAGCAGTTCTTGACATACAGCCCTATCTCTTGAAGCCTTTGGGAATCTTTAAAGCATGAAACTTCGGTTCCAGTGACAGCATGTAGCTCACATGTAAGCTGTGAAGCTGTAAAAGTCATGTGATGCTATGCTAAAAGGGCCAAATCACGATCTTCAGTAATCTTTGTGGGTCTTGGTCAACCTTGTCCAGGTCTTCTCGATATTGATCCAGTGTCTTAAAACTGTTTCCATAAACTGCAGATGACACTGGGAATTACATTAAGTTCTGTAGCCACCTGCACTTATGATTAGCCTGTTTTTAAATTACAGAAAATTCTCCATCTTATACCATCATCCATACAATTGTTCCACTCATTTTCCTTAATACCTTATAAAATCTGCCCATCTTTTGTGAGAAACATGACAAATGTCTTGTAGGTGTATGACCACACAAATTGCCATAAACCCTTCATATGCTTCATAACCCTCCACAATCAGAGCTCTGCAAACATGCACGTGTACTGTTATGCATTTGACTCAGAATATTCCATAATTCTTTTCTGGCATAACTATTACCTTCGGTTCAATGCTTTTCATACAAATAGACATAATTTGCAAATTTTCTTAACATTGCACACAAGTGTATTTTTACTGAAAGGTATCAAAACTAAATTTCTTATATTTTTACAGAAATATATGAAATTATTATAGACATGGCCAAAATTATTCTGGACAAAAGTCTACATTATTTGATTCATGTCTTAAATTTGTAAGAGGGGTGTACAGCCGATGGCTCAAAAGATACTTTGTCATGCAGACTGTACAAGATATCCTGCATATTTCAATATTAATATTATTTTAATGCAAAATATTTCAACATTTTTTTTTTTTTTTGTAACTAACTGTATTTAAAAGCTAAGCACAATAAGATGTAAATAGTCTTGTGTTGTTGTGTGCCTGACATCAGAACGAGCTCACGAAGTTCATTGTGGCAAGGAGGCAAGTTTGGGCCTGTTGTTGGCAAGAGCTGTGGGCATTATGCACGTAACAGTATGGCTTTGCTCATTTCCACCTGCAATTATGATTTACCATTCATAGTCCATTCCTGACGGATGGAGATGCGAATTAGCATTTAACAAATACATGCATTTTCTTTTCTGAGAGAAAGTGAAAAAGATTTTTTTTAAATACTAATTAATTAACTTATTTAGTTAGTAATGGGATTTTAATAGCACAGATCACTAGTCCTCTAATGGCTAGAGACCAAGTGAATGAGACCACTGAGTGACATAGCAATAACTGTGACTAAGACTATAAATGCTACTAATTCAACCTGTGTTTGTATCTTAATGAACTGACTCACTTCATGTGTACTTTCCTGGTCTCCCTCATGTGTAACATAAATACAGACCATTTTCTCTCTAAAATCTTCCAAGACTTCCTTTCTTTTAGGTAGATAGCTTGTGTGTGCTTATTATGTTGACCAAACAATTATTATGTTAAACAAACAATAAGGAAGGCCACTAGACCCTGATATTCATGTAATGAGTTCATTTTGTAATGGCAGAACTAACTAGCTGCATTGTTGCTGTTGTTGATTTTCCTGTTTATAGTATTACTGAAAGCCAATAATTTCCCTCTGAAAGTCCTCCCAAAAGGTCTTTCTACCCAATCATTTTGACCTCAGCTGTACTGCTGTAATATTTTTTTTACTGCTAACCAAGGTCTAGCAATGAAGCCATACCAGCCTGTGAAATTGCACTGTATAACAGAATTTTGGAAGCACAGGGTAATAGAATATGGGAGCAACAGAGACTGCATCAAGAAGCAAAAAGTTTAGTGCTGGTTGTGGAGCTAGCATAGGCCATAACCATGTGTTAAATATATGTAATTTTCTCAACATTGACTAAACGTAATTTAGTTCTTGAAGTAATACACTTTTGCAGTTACACAACAACATTGGTAATTTCTGATTATCTGCACTCTTCCCAAAATGTCAAGGAAAAGTATTCCTGAGGCAAAGCAGTATGCCACCAAAACAGTTCTGCAGCAATTCATAATGTCACTATATATGGCTGTTTTGCCTGGTGTGCAGTGCCAATTTTGGATGATGATAATCTTAAATATTTCTCTGATTTTTTACGGAAAAACAGATTGCTCTGTCCATGAGAAGATTATACAGTGCAGAAAAGAAACCCAGGTATGCACGTAACACATGTCTGTTTTGGTCAGCTAAATTTGTGCTGTACTTTGATTTTAGCAAAAGAGGAGAATGATAAAGTAAGGAAAAGGATTTCTTGAAATAGTCAAGTGTTTTGTAAGTGTTTCTAGCTTTAATTTTATTGTTTGATTGCTCTTGTATGGAATTCTTAGTATGCCACCATTTTAAAAATGGCTCTTGCCTTTTGTGCATTATTTTGGCAAAAAATTAGTTGCCTATGAGCTCGCAACTTTTGGGAGGGGTGTGTATAATCAGAAAGCACACAATGTAAAATTTTGTTCTAGTGGCAGTATTAGATTCTTATGAAAGATGTGAAAGAAAAAATATTTTTAATATTACTTTTTACTTTACAATTATTAATATTTGAATTCCTATTTTTGTAAAATTGGTATGATTTAATATCTAGTTCAATATAAGGTATTGCTACTTACATAAGCAAACATTTAAGCCAGGTCCTAAAAATTAATAGAAAATAAAGAGTAAATGCACATGTAAGAATAGTAATTATAATAATTGTAATAATTGTAGAATAGTAATTAAGTGAATAAATTTTGCTGGTACATGGTTATATTATATGAGGATTTACCATAATTGAAACATGCTTATTTTTCAGCTTTTTCATAGTGATGATTATGAACTTGAAATCCTGAAGAAGAACTGCTGTCCATTTTGTAGAACCACTGTTCAAGAGCTTGACGCATTTGAAGAATAATTGTAAATTTTATTGGTCTCATCTGCACAATTTAGCACATCATTCTGTGATTTTTAACCTGTGCCTGTTACCTCGTGATGTTTTTACTGCTATTTGTTTGCATACTTGAAACTGTGATATATAAAATACTAAGTCATTCTTGAAGTTGTGTAATATGTGTATATGAAATTATTAAATAAATTTGTCATATTACAAATTATTTATTTTTACTCATTTTATTTATATTTTAATTTTAGATTATTAAATATTTAGGCAAACTAGATGAGCTCATTCTTTGAAAGCTATGGCATAAATGGAGAACTTGCATTTTTTTACTAAAAATATCTGTAATTTTTTGCTAACTCAGCTCAACACAGGCTAACTCATAGTACAAAACCAAAGTTGTGAATTCAACTGCTATATAAGGCTTGGCTTTAATTGTGTTGTCAGCCTTACTTTTTCTCTTTGCTGGTGCAATATTGGTATTCAGTCGATCGGGATGACCCTGGTTAATGTTCTCAGTGATGAGATGATTAAAAGGCCAGTATGTTAGCCTATTCCTGATAAATGCTGAACAAGCAACTTCTTCATAATAGAATAAAAAGAAATTTTGTCATGTTTTATAGTTTTTAGTATCAAAGCACTAAATATATATTTATTAAGATACTATTGTGATTTTTATTACTCACAGTGATTAATCAATAAAAAATGTCACTTTGTTACTCTTAATAATAAATTAATATTAGTTGGAAGCTAAATTAGAATGTGAATTTAGAAGTTAGAAACAAAGGTAAAGAATATAAACAAATAATCATAAAGCATGTCTTATATAAATTTTTTCTTTCATGCACAGTCATGGAGTTGACTCTACGAATGGTATTTTATTAGTATTCCATTTTATTTATTTATTTACTGTTCATTTTTTAAAAGTGAAATTTGGAACTCTCCTCTTAAAAAGTTACGGATTATACTTCGGAAACTCAGATGATACTCTCTAGGTTAAGAAAATTAAACTCATTGGAAAAAATTATGATAAAAAGCACATTCAAATCAATGTGATGCTTTGTGGTGCATGAGGAAAACTTTTTCCCCCATTTAATTAAAAAAGTCAACTTACATTAAAACTACTGGGTTATTTTAAATGCATTGGAACAAAACATCAGCAAACCAGTAAAAGCGACAAGTATTATTTGTAAAAAGAACAAATAATTGACCATTATATTTACCATGAAACTAGTTTATGTTTAATAAATCTGTAATAAGTACATGCTTATTATAACTTATTAAAATAGATGTAAACATATGCAAAGTAAGTAACCATGAGTAAAGAGGGCACTGGGATATCTGCATGCTGCCTTAAGGCAGTAATGTCATTTTTGACTTCCCTGCCACTGACTGCCTAGAAACATTGTTAAAGCTTTGGGCTAAGTTATTCTTGACTGCCTAGAAGCGTCCGTAACATTTATGACATAGGTCTTCTTGACTGTCTAAACCCTGTCTTGCTGCTCAGAGGTTTAAATCCTCCTAAAATAAAAAGTAATCTCATCATCCTGATCCTAATAATAAAAACACTCAATATCTTGAATGTAACGACATGACGTAATCATAAACGTGACCATCTAAATAACAAATAAAAAAAGGGTTCTCAAAAGACATTTCACCAATGAAGCTTCTCTTGAGGCTTAGTTATTGAATTTCTAAAGAAGGCAAGGAATATGCAGTTGGTTAAAAGTTGAAAGTGTAGTTATACAGTTGGTGAAAATTTAAGCTGCATATTAAGTGTAATATTTTCCAAATTTGGTTACAAATTTCAAGAAATTGCTACCTCGCCACTCTCTGACACTACCACTCTCGCGATGAATTGAAACATTGGCGCATTTTTGCGAAGAAGAATTAAAATTTCGTTTAAAATTGTATCCGTAACAATTTGCCATACAGTTTGATGAATTGACAGATGTTGATGGTTTGGCCATTTTGATAGCCTTGGTACGTTATGTTTCGAGTTCTGCAAGCCAAGAAGATAAACTGCTATGTAAACCTGTTACAGAAACAACAATTGAGAAAAAATATTTGTTCTTATTAACAGTAATGTGAAAGAACACAAACTATGTTGGGATTTATTTGCGTATTTGTACAGATGGGAGCAAAATCGTTATTGGGCTACAACAAAGGAGTAATACCACAAATAATTTCAATTAATGCAAGCACACTGCAGTCTAAATATAATCCAAGGGTCGATTTAATCTGGAGCACTAGTTAATACTATTAATGAGTAAATTGCATTAATTATATGCTAAAAATACAATATGCTCTTTTGCTAAAAATACAATACTTTTTCTTTAATTGTCTTTACATGAAGTACCAGTGATCAATATGTACCATGAAATACATAATGATCTACATTAAATATTATTTTAAGCTATATTTTTCTATGGGTAGAGTTAGGGTTCCTAGAAAATATTTTATAGTTCGAAGTGTTTGGTGAGTCCACAAAGTTTGAAGACCACTCAGGTGAAGGGATGCAATCCTAAAGACCAATCAGCATCTCACTAACATTCTTTCTAAGTCAGCCATTGAGCATGCTTGTTTATTGAAGAGTTATAGGATATAAATATAAGTAATACTTTAAATTTATTTTCTGCTGTTTTAATTGTAAAATTATATTTTTCCACATTTTTTATTCTCTTCTTTATTTTATTAATTTATTTCTTTTCATTATTTTCCTTTTCTTCTAACTTTTTATATTAATAAATTAATTGCTTTCTTTCTATATTATATATTTTTTTTTTGCAACATAATTTTTTTTTTATTTCACAATTTTATTTTTTTGTTTTTTTTTTTTTTTTCGAAAGAAATTTATTTTTTTTTTTATTATGCTAATTTTTTCCATTTTGTGTTTGCTTTACTTTCTAATTTCTGATTTATGAAAACTTTATGGATGATTTATTTTTTTTATTTTGTAAAAGTAATTTGTTTTCACATGCTTAATTTGAGCTTTAATTTTTTTTTTTCTTTTTTACAATACTAAGTTTTAATAAATATTTTTCAAATTTTTACTCTTGCAATTATTTTGTTTAACTTCTTATTTTTTACTTTGAAAGTGATTTTATTTTTACTTTCACTTGTTTTTCTTTTACAATGAAATGTATTTAAAAACTTTACAATTTAAATCTCATTTTTTTACTTTTGTGGCAACTTTTATAATTTTTCTTCAATATTGTGTTCTTTCATTTTTACTTCAATTTAACTTCATGTTTCTTTCTAATTCATTTCAACCAAAATAATCATTATCCAAAATAATGTTACGTACAAGTGTGCGAATCATTCGCTTATGAATGCCATGTGAACTTCTCGCTGCCCGTTCGTTTTCGCCTATGCAACTGAAGAAGATAGAATAAAACCGATACGGATTTTTGTCTGTGTGATTCTATCTAAAAAATAAATAATATTATCGTATGAGTAGACATGTTTACATTTCTCTGGTAGACATCCACACTAGTTTGCCCCGGATCAATGAATTCAACTGTTAAATTGTGGTGAAACAATAACTTACTGTTCTGTATTACGAGTGTCACTGACATTATTAGCAGTTATATAGTTACCTGTTCCCGAATATGTTACGGACGCGTCGTAGAAGCTACTTACCCGTTTTAAGTTCCGCATTTTTTCCTGGTTTGGCGTGGTGAGTGTGTTTCGTTGAAGTGCTTCTGTGCCATGGATAATCAATTGATATCGATTGTTTAGTGAATCTTGAAGTAATTCAAGCGTACGTGGACTGAATCTTCTAAATGGTAGTCACTTTAAATTTATTTTTTATATATTGCAATATACTACGGTAATCAGTTAGATTTCAGATGCATCAATGGTTAAAATAATAAACTTGTTTTTTAAGCAAACTTTACCGAAAGCTTAAAAATAAACATAATAAGGTGCTGTTTTCTGTTAAGCTTATTCTGCTAGGCGAGGAGATGAAGTAATAGCCTAACTAGCAACATCTGCGCTGTTGCAAGGTCGCATCAAATTCCTCCTTTTGGAACCTGACCCAAATTGTTTCTTCAGATTTAGCCCAATTCCGAACGCTAGCATTACGGCTATCAAACAATCGATTTGTAGTCAGTTCTATGAACGGAACTTGTCACTATCTCTGTATTCTCACCAACAACGCAATATCCGTCCATTAAAAAGGCTGATGAAATTTTTTGCGACTCGAACACCAAAACCCGAAAATCTGACCGAATAGAACTGGTGATAAAAACCGCCACTTCTCTGCGAATGCTACTGGGCGGCTGAGAAGTGCCATATGATTTTTAAAAACTTTGTGGATGCACGACTCCACTTGATATGCGGAGCATTTTCACTGTAAGCCAGTGATATTTGTCCAATTATCTCACTGGCTACCCCAAAAAATATTGCATGAAATCCCAAGAGCTCGCATGTTTCTTTCTCCCATCTGAATAACATTCCCCAAGATTACAGAAGGCAGATTCAACTGACACCGCAATCAGAAATAATACGCGTAGAATCCAGCCACAAAGACGACGATACGGTCGAATTCTAGAATCGTTTCAAAATACACTACCCAAATAATTGTTTATCTTCATCAACGCTTTGTTAGAGAGCACGTGCACCCCCCATGTACTTACCGGTCTCGAACTGGAAACTGATCCCCGCTCTTCGATGACGATAGAAAGTCAGGGTACAGCGAGTCCGTCTATATATTCGTGACACGCATCGCCACGCCAGTTTTTTACTTGACACTGGAGCAGAAATATCGTTTATCCACCTGACCATCGGGAAGGACTGTGCAAGCTTAGTTTATTCGGCATGCTAACGTAAGAACAATCAACATACGGTCAGAAAAATTAGTGAGCTCGATTTAGGGCTACGCAGATCCTTCAAATGGCCTTTTATTCATTGCGGACTTAATCAACCTTCATCTGGGAATATCTTTCGTTCTTCACATTTAAATTTGTTATTCGATATTAAAACATGGAAATTAAGATAAGGAAAGGTGAATTGCACTGCCTCACAAATAATAGGTTCTCTTAAAAACGAAGCTAGATGAATAGGACACTTAGAAAAAGAGCATTGTAAAATGAAAATATATTAAATAAGTTGATAATAATTAGCAATTTCATTATATACGTATATATAACTGAATTATTTAAAATATACTCTATAACTGCTTATAGTATATATGCATAATTAATTATTTTAAAT